GGGGGGATCATCAGACGACAGAGAGGAAAGGTGAGATGTGCGTTTACATTAAAGTGAAGAGACAAAAACTGACTTTACCACCTGAAATCAGACCGTGAGCATTTAAACATGTACGTTGTGTTCCTTTTGTTCTTACTTTATGGCACATTTGTGCTTCCTTATACTCACAGTTTAACTGTAAAGTCAATATTTTACTTTTCTGTGCTTCTTGTGCTACAATAATCTCTACCTGTTTGGCACTCCCAAGGAATATAAAACTAACACTATATGATTGTTAACAACAATTTGGCACAAAAATCCTCTGCTTTCTCATAAATATCACACGTGATAAACTTTAAGTCTTTTTAAGACATTTAAAACATATATAAGTGTCCTTCACAGTGCCGTAAAACATTTGGACAAACAGAGTTTTGTAGAGGAAATTCACATTTAAGTCCATTGAGCTCTCCTGGTGCACTCTGGGAAACGTAGTTCACAGAGACTTGTGCTTCCCCAGCAGGCTGAGGCACTGCAGCAGGCCCTTCATCCACACACACTGGGCGAGGAGCAGCAGCAGCAGGCAGCCGCCGGCCGAGCAGTACACCCCGATCACCGTGCTCTCCTCCGGGAGGAAACACTTGGACATGGCGAAGCTGCCGGGGGACACCGAGGCCTGAGAGGGGGAGGGGGGAGACAGGGAGGTCAAATAAATTAGAGGTGATAACTGCTATTATTGGTGCTTAAAGGGGCCTTGGCCACCAGGGGGCGTCCCAAACACACTGTGTGGATCCTTGCTGCACATTTTCACATTAATCTGATTATTCAAACATACAATCCCTTACATTTGTATTACCCCCATAACAGAGCTTGATAGGTCTATTTGACATAATAGTTACACATTTTGGGGGACAGTAGAATATATTTAAAAAAAGGAAAACTAACCAGATTGTGTATTTAACGTAGTAAGAGGACATTTACATTTAACAAATCACATCATGTTTATTTATTGTAGATATTCATATTGCAATGTCATGTTGCGGTATCCGGGTCAAAATGTAAGGAACCAGAAGAGGGGGTTAATATTCAGAAAAGAGAACTTCACAGATCATAGAAAAGTCACAGCCTAAAACTACTCCTGAATAAAAGGTGTTCAGCCGCTTGTTTTTCCATGTGTTATGTTTTTTGAAGCAAACATACTGAAAACAGCTGCCTTCTGTGGCTAACAACGTTTTGAGAGCGTACTGAGAGTTCAGCCTCACAGACACTCTACTATAACAATAATATATTTCATTTATAAAGCGCTTTTCTAAGTAATCCAAGACACTTTTATTAAAACCAACGTACATACAAAAATGCAAAGAGGAACATTCAATGGGAATGGACAGAAACTAGAAACTATAGTTCAGAGATCAGATCAAACTCATAAGTCATGAAATGAGGGAAGGAGTTTATCAGGAGAACTCGGGAATGGAGAGGTGAGTGTTTGTTTTGCTCACCAGGATGAAGCTGGGGTTGTTCCTGTTCCTCCAGCTGAAGGACGGCACGCTGATTTCGGGGTACTTGTTGTCATGGAGAACTTCACATCCGCTGTGTGTGTGTCCACTGAGGATGAGGCGAGGCTTGAACCACTGCAGCAGCTGAGGACAGAAAACACATCACGGCTCATCATCTGATCACACGGGAACATTCAAGCATTCAAGGTTCAAGGCTGTTGTTGTCATGTATGCATAGCTACTGTGTAGTTATGACAACGAAAGGTCTTAGGTCACAGGCTCCTCCAACAGTGCAACACAATAAATCAGAAAGTAGTTTACAAGTAAATAGTAGCAGATTATTCTATATACAAGTAATTGG